CAAAACATGACTTAGAAACAAGGCATAAATATCTTCTTCATTTGATGAAGAAAATCAGATTACATCAGTTACCTGAAAAAACATTGCAGGATATTTTGCTCTCTGAGGAACAGTTACTTAAAACTACTAATTGCTTAGTAATAATCAAGGAAGCAATTCAAAATGTACAGAATTTCAGTGGGCTCTTCCCAGATCCTCGCCCATCAACTACAGAAAAATATATACTGGTTCATAAAACTGAAGAAAATAAAATTAATCAACATACATTTTGCTATAATATCAGAACTGATCAGTGGAAAGAACTGATGCACATAAATATATTTGATCTACCTGGATCAAGTTTATCTAGTTATGGTGAAAAAATATTTATAACTGGTGGATGTAAAGGTAACTGTTTCCGGACTATTAGACTTCATATTGCTGAAACATTTCATGATGCCACAGATCAAACTTGGTGTTACTGCCCAGCAAATGATAGCTTTTCATTAGTATCTGCCATGAAGAAGCCAAGGACAATGCATACATCTGTTGTGACTTTAAATCGTTTGTATGTAATAGGAGGGAGGACAAGGGCATCTCAGAATATCAAAAGCCTTTTGGATGTTGAGGCATATAATCCCGTGTCTAGAGAGTGGAAATCTGTGAGTCCATTACCAAGGGGCATCTACTACCCAGAAGCAAGTGCTTGTCACAGTGTAATATATGTGCTTGGTTCTGAAGTTGAAATTACAGATGCCTTTAATCCATCTCTTGATTGCTTCTTTAAATATAATGCTGTAACAGATCAGTGGTCTCAGTTAGTAGCAGAATTTGGGCAATTCTTTCATGCAACTTTAATCAAAGCTATTCCAGTGAACTGCACTTTATATATTTGTGATCTTTCTACTTACAAAGTTTATAGCTTTTGTCCAGAGACCTGTGTCTGGAAAGGAGAAGGCTCTTTTGAGTGTGCTGGATTTAATGCAGGGGCAGTTGGAATAGAAGATAAAATATACATTCTGGGTGGAGATTATGCTCCTGATGAAATAACTGATGAAGTGCAGGTTTACCATAGCAGTAGATCTGAATGGGAAGAAGTTGCACCTATGCCAAAGGCCCTTACTGAGTTTCATTGTCAGGTGATTCAGTTTAATAAATTCAGGGATCCATGGTTGCAAAAACAATGTGACACAAACAATTATACATGAGTACCTAATTTCTCATGTATATGCTCTTTATTATTTATTGTTAGAGAATTTTAATTTCTCTGTTGATGAAAAAATAAATCGGAAGCTCTCACAGTTGACTGCATTTAGCTGATTCAAAATAACTTATTTATATTTATATCAAAATATTTATAATACCATACATTCTTCTTTACAGCAACATAGCTCAATTGAAGACTTCTTACAGAGAGATACAGAGACAAACCTGGGACTGGAAATCCAGCTCCTAACTCAATACCTTTTGCGCAGACTCAGTAGCACTTTCTTCACATTGGCTGGCTGAGTTACCACATGACTCTTCCTGCTCATGAATATTCCAACACTCTTCCCTTCATGACAGGAAAAGACATCAGACCTAATGACTTAATACATTCTCCATAGTGAACACTACTCAATGGTTTAGTCATCATGTCTGCCAAATTATCCTCAGAAGAACAATGATGTAAACTAATCAATTTTCCTTTTACAGCTTCCCTGACATTACAATACTTAATGTCTACATGTTTATGTCTGTTTTTCACCCTGTCACCAGTTGCCATTTTTATACAGGCAGCGTTGTCTTCAAATACCTTTACAGATTCTTTTACATTAATATTTAAATCTTGCAACAACTGTACATTATCATTTGGCAATACCTTTTTCTTATATACCCACTTACAACCCACAGCTTTGGTTCCCTGTGACAAAGTCACTGATTTAAATACTTCATGGTCTCCCATGGATTTCATCTCTTTATCCATGGCCTCCTTCTATCTTTCTTGTTCAGCTTTTGGTAATGCCAACACCTCTTTATAACTTCTTGGCTCATACCACACATTGCAAACTTTGCTGGCAGAATACCTGTCAGGCGGAATTCCTTTGTTACATCGCTCTGACCTACGTGGTATTAACTGCTCCTGTGTCTCAAGTTTTTCTGGTTTCATGTCTTATTCAGCCTCTCCTCCCTGAACATTGACATTTTCAATAATCATTTTTTTATCATTAGATGAGTTATTGTCATTAAATAGATCACCATCATTAAGTGAGAAATACCCAGAATTTGCATTAATTCTGTTCTGCAAAATTAGCAGACCTTGAAATTATAATTCTTTTACTTCCATCACTAAAGCGATAGCCTTTTGACCCTGGCTCATAGCCCACAAACCTGAGCTTTCTTGCCTTTTGCTGTCCCTTTCTTCTGATTGCTTTCGGAATATGTACCCATGCAGTACTTCCAAAAATTCTCAAATGTGCCAGTGATGGCTTTCTCCCATATAGAATGGCATATGGAGTATTATTAATGGAGGAACTCCACAGCCTGTTAACTATATAATTTGCAGTCAATATGGCTTCTCTCCAATATGACCTGCTCATACCAGAATCCTCTAATAATGAACCTTTCAGTTTGCAAAACACAATTCCTTTCAGCTACACCATTTTCTGCTGCTGTGTAAGGATTTGTACGTCTGTGTCTTATCCCCAACTGCCCCAACCATTGTTGGAATTTAGTTGACATAAATTCAGTACCTCTGTCAGTTTGCAACTGACACACTTGTTGTCTGTACCTTCTCTCTACAAAACGTACCCTCTGTTTGAATTGTAGCACCTCTGTCTTTGCTCTAAGCAAGTAGCAAAAACTATACCTGCTATAATCATCAACAATTACCAGTGCATATTTTGCTCTTCCCAAACTGGCTTGCATAAGTCCCACCAGATCTGCATGGACCAGCTTTAGAGCTTTTTTTGTCTTGTGCTATATTTACTAATTGGGAATGCCTTTGACTTTGATGCTTTGCATACTGTACAGTCCAAATATGTTTTGCATCCCTTCAAATTTAGCCCTTCTGCAAAATCTTGCATTTGCTGCAAAACTTTAAAGCTTGCATGGCCAAGTCTTCTATGTAGAACACATGAATCATGCTCTGCAACATTCTTAAATATATGGGAACATTGAACCTTTTGTCCCTGCAATACATATAGATTATCTTCCTTTATGCCTTCTGCACAAATATTCCCATTCCTTTTGATGAGACACTTCCCATTTACAAAAATGATCTCAAAACCTTGTTTGTCTAAATTAGACACACTTAACAAATTATGTTCCATCTCAGGTACACAAAGCACATTGGTAAACTTTGATTCCAAATATGGAATTTTTATATCGCCTTTTCCGATGACTTTTGCTTTCTGGCCATTTGCCAAAGCCACAGCTTCTTGTGCTACTGGAACAAACCTGCAAAATAATTCAGAGTCATTAACAAGTGTTTGACTTGCCCCACTATTTATTAACCACTTGTCTCTGTTGTTGCTATTGCAAACTTTTGCAACACCAAAATGTTCCTTTTGCAAATCACTCCTTTTTCCTTGCACAAATGTCCTTTGCTGCAAATTGTTCCTTTGCAAACAGTTCCTTTTCAGATGTGTCTTTGCTCCACAAATGTAGCAATTCTTTTCTCGCTTAGCTCTCTGCCTGCAAAATGTTTCTTCTTCAGAGACTTGCAGTCTGGACCCCATCCTCAGGAATTTCACCTCCTGTGGCTGCTTCTAAAATGGCGCTTTTCTTGTTCATTAAGCAAACATACCTTTAAAGCCTCAAACTTTAAGTCTTGCTCTTCTTTACACTCAAATATGGCAGAAACTGTGTCCCAGGTTTTATCTAAACTGTTCAACACCAATAAAACTTCCGGGACTCAGGGAATTTAATCCCACGTTCTAAGTCCAAAAATAAACTTTGCATTTTATTTAAATGCTGTTCCACAGATTCACCTGGTTGCAAACAGGCTGTGTAAAGTTTTCTTGATAATTGCACTATGTTGCAAGCAGAAACATTCAGGTGCACAGCTCTCAACTTCAACCAAATCTCCTTTGCAGTCTTTAAATTTGCAACATTTAGAAATTGCTCATCATCTAAATTCAAGATGAGATAAGCCATTGCTTGATCATGACTTTTCTGATCAGCACCTGCAAACACTTCTACCACAGTTCTTTTGCTTTGAGCAAACATTCCATTTTTGCAGCCCATATAATGTAATTCTTCTGGCTCAAATGAGGCACACAGCTTTCCTTAAATTCCATTGCAGCCATTCTGCTAATTCTGCCTTGTTCTTATACTTTCTAAACACAGGCAATTTCTTCCAGCTTTAAATTACAATGCAGTCCTTAGTAAGCTCTGGGCCCATAACCTGTTAGAGAATTTTAATTTCTCTGTTGGTGAAAAAATAAATCAGAAGCTCTCACAGTTGACTGCATTTAGCTGATTCAAAATAACTTCTTTATATCAAAATATTTACAATACCATACATTCTTCTTTACAGCAACATAGCTCAATTGAAGACTTCTTACAGAGAGATACAGAGACAAACCTGAGACTGGAAATCCAGCTCCTAACTCAATACCTTTTGCGCAGACTCAGTAGCACTTTCTTCACATTGGCTGACAGAGTTACCACATGACTCTTCCTGCTCATGAATATTCCAACATTTATTTATTAAATTTGTTTGCTGCCCATCTTAGCCACAATGTGATTTTAAGGTAACCAAATATTAGGGTTCAATCTACCAAACCATATTTTCTCTTAAGACACATCTTTTGAGTTTGGATGGCCTGTGTTTAATTATTATTAATTAAATTATTTAATTATTAAATAAATTATTGGATTTATATGCCAACTGACTCTCAGTGATTGGGTTCCTTTCTTCCTTCTCTAGATAAGCTCTGCCTAATGTTTAGCTACTTTTAATATTAAGAACAGTTTCAAAAATAATTTTGGGGGGCCAAGAACTGATTTAAAAATTGCTACATGCATTACATAATTGGCTGTTGCTGTTATGTTTACTTTTCCTTTGAGGCTATAAAACTACATTTTTCCAAATAAAGTCACAATTAATATATTTCATAACCTTGTTTTTCTACATATTTTCTCTTTCATTGATATCAAATACTATTAAAGTTCTATATCATTGCCTTTATTTTAAATGTATTAATATAAATTACAGTTCAATTTCTTTTGGGGAAAGTGATTGAATCAGTGAAATTTATCCTAAAGTCTAGGCTATTCTTCCTCAAATTATATAGTCATTGTAACATAGACCATGAATTGTCAATTCTCTATGCTGCTCATATACTGCACATTCCATGTGCTGAAAATAAGTAGGATTATACCATAAATTGTATAAAGGAGAAATATAATTTGTTCTTGGAATCTTATTCTTAAATATGGTCTTGAGTAAGTGCCGCTGGCCCCAGTTGGACATACTCCTGAGAAAACATGTTTTAAGGAATCAAGCACAACAAAATAATTTAGGAATCAAGATAGAAACCATTAGAATATGATAAGGAGTGTTACATTAGATAGGTCCCAAGAATTTGGACTTGTTATATAGGTTGTTTGTTCTTTTTCCATGACATCAAAAAATACTTTGGAAAAATTCACCACTTTAAAGCAATAGACATATAGCGGTGGAATTATAGCTCCAAAAAGAAAAACAAGGTCATATTGTGCACAAGCAATTGGTCTTGATGGCTATAGTATGTGTTAATGGACTGCATGTGAATTAATACCTTATTTGCACTAAGAACATATAACTGTATTGTAATTATACAATTATTATATGATCAATAAAGATATGGCATGATGTAATGAATGTTAGTGTAATGTATATAGCTTCTTACCATCTTGAGCTTCAGTTATCTACCACCATAATCAGTATCACTATTCAAATGTAAAATGTCATTTTACATATTACTTTATACCAGCAGCCGCCAACCTTTTGGATATCAGGGACCAATTCTGTGGAGAGAGGTTTTTCTGCAGACTGGGTGTATATGTGTTTTCACGTGCTTCCTGCATCCTGTGGATGGGGCTTGTCTTGTTTGCAAGGCCCAGTTTCTGGCATGCCATGGACTGGTACCGGTCCACAGACTGGAAGTTGGGGACTCCTGCTTTATACTGCTGTAGCAAATATAAACAGAAAATGAAACAAATGTTCAACCGAGGCCTGTTTTGTAACTCTAGTTCTGAGCAAATAATATCCTACAAAGCAAAATGACAAAATGGATTTTACTATAAAAATCTTGAATAACTGATATTTAGAAAACAATATCTAACGTTGGATGTGACATAACCATTTTTGAACAGAAAATGGTTAATAGTTATAATCTCCATCGCAGTATCCTGAAAAATACATTGTATTTTAATGATTTCCAAAAAGATATAATTTATAATAAACTATAAATCAATTTTCACTGATGGGATCTTGATGAAGCTAAACTTAATTTACTTCTGTGGCGAGCACTAAATACAAGAGATTGACAATGTAAAAACAACCAAATTTGGTGATGTTAAAAGATTTTTTTTTAAGTTGCCAAGAAAGGCAAAAATGAAATCATTGGAAAGATAAATACAAAACTCTGAAAATGACCAAAATTTTTATCAGGATAATTTTTAAAAAGAAGATATGTTTATGTCACAAGTTTTTGATAGTTGCATTGTGTATATTTTTTAAAACAACTAAAATTAAAACAGCATAACTGGTATTTTAGTTCAATATGTTGGGGTTTTATGAGATTTAACATTAATCTGGATGTTAGTGATAAGAGTACTGGAATGTTCATTCATTTATATAATAAAAGCATTAACCATCTAATCCAATATATTGTACTGAGTTTACACTTGTGTGATGAGAAATTACATCCATATTACCTTACATTAACATTGTAAAGTACATTGTACAAGTGGTCCTCGCTTAGCAGCCACAGATGGAATTGTCAGCTCCATCACGAAGCAACACAAATAGTGATCAAAAGGCGACTGACTGTTGGATGCTGCAACTCTCATACGTGTGAGATAGTTATCAAGCCCCAGATCACGATCAAGGGGATGCTGCAATGGCCCAGAATATCAAGGACTGGTTGTAAATTACCACTTGTTCACAGTTGTCACAACTTCATTGTCGTTGAACAAGAAGTCAGAGTAGGCAACGACTACCTGTAATGGAGAACATGAAAGTGAAGTCACAAGTCAGCAAATGAGGGGGGGTTAACTTGAAGCATGGTGCACCAAGTATATAGTCTTTTGACTCATAAAAGGTTCTAACCATATGGTTTGTTTGGGCTTAGCTCTTGGGGGTTTAGGAATCATAGTTTAGAGCCTAGCTTGCAGGAATTCAGCGTGCAAGTACACGAACTAACGGTTTCCTCAGAGAAGACCTTTAAAACATCTTCCAAAGGCGAAACACGGATCGGCGCCGGTGATTAAAACGCAAATGACGACCGGCTTCTGACTTTTTTTTCCCCCTCAGCCAATAAAAGTGGCCACTCTGGATGACAACGCAGCTCTCGCGCCCAATAAGCAGAGACCTGAAGGAGGCGTAGGGGCAGGGGAAGGAGGCGGAGAAAGCGCTGAGCAAAGTTGCGTGAGTTGAGGAAAGAGGCGGGCCGGAGGGAGGCGGTTGGGAGCTGCAGGGAGCGCGCGAGCTGACGCCCGCGCGGCTCGGCCCAATCGATGGGCCGCTTGGACCGGTGAGTGACGGGTGAGCTCGTCAGCGGCAGGGGGGTGGGTCAAAAGGCCGGCGTTGGAAGGGGGAGCGTTGCGCGCAGGTGAGGAGCTTTTGCGCTACTGAGGGAGGGTAGAAAGGAAGGAAGGGGAGGAGCCGCGTCTGCCTGTGGGGAGCAGGGTAGCTGTTGGCTTGGTGTTTAAGTGGCGCCTTCCCCTTCCTTGCGTGTGTCTGCTCGCCGCTGTTTTTCCTGAGGGCTCCCCTTCCCTTCCGACCCCGGGTTAGCAGTCCCCAACATTCCCGTTAGGGAGTCGCATATTCGTCCGCCGGATGGAGGGAGGCCGGTGCGTGCCCCTGTCCCTGATCAGCGCCGTGCAGGATAATACTCCCTTCCCTCCCATTCTGAAGTGCGGCCACCCGCTCTACTTCAAGAGGGAGGGTGGACGCCTTCCCTCTATCTTTGCCTTTCCCTCAGATTGCTTAAAGGCGGGAAGAACGGGCACAATTCTGAGGCGGTAGACTGGACTGTGCCATTTAAGGTGGGGGATGCTGGACAAATGTATTTCTGACCAGGTTTATTCTGGTATATTAGGTATTTATAAAAATAGAGTGGCCAAGGGCTATTAAGACGGGACCACTGCGTCTTTTGAGAAGGAACTAAGGTGTTTGCTATTAAAGAGGCAAACAGACCGAACCAGAAGCTGCTCGACCTTTTTTATCTTCCTAAGCTATGGCTTCTCAAATAAGCTGCCCGCGTTGCCATCAATTTTAAATTATGGCTTGTGAGTTTTAATAGCTTCGTTCACCAAACTCGTTTAAGCCAGAATTAAATAGTATACCATCCTATTGCAGTATGCAACCAGTCTTTAGGTTTGCTGGGTTCACTTCTTAATCATTCTGTTTCAAATTGTAATGTGATGGACCCAGTTATGTGCTGGACATGACTTAGCATTTTATGATTTGAATAAATTGCTAGTATATGGCCAGTTGAGTATGTATGAGTCATTTGAACAAGACAGTTTCTCTTAAAAATTATTTACTGTTCTCTTCATTTTCTAGCATAAAATAGTTGTGTTATTCATTAGTAGAGATTTTTTTCCACAGCAGTGTGATGCTATGGTCTTCGCTTATCTTTGCAGTTATGAGGAATATTTGCAAAAAGGTAAAACCACACTACCATTCCCCCTTCAAAAAATTAAATCTACTTATAATTTTATTGCAAGTTTTAATTTCTGGAGCATTCTCAAATAGCCTAAAACCCCTCAAATCTAGATTTGTCCTGGAGGCATTTAGATCAATTTCAGATACGATTAAGGCAATCTTGAGACTGAATTCAAGATTGATCTAGAAAATATTTTCCCCGAATCATAAGTTCCTCAAGAGATTTATAGTTTTTATTTAGCTCTGTTTTCATAGCTGTATTGAAGACAGAAGAAAAAATGTTAGCATTTTAACAGTGCGCAAGAGCATTAACAGATTTAAATAACCTGGAAGTTATGACTGGATTTTACAATAGAAGAAAAATAGCAAACAATAATGGTAGATAATATTCACAAATGTGAAAATGTGTTCCAGAAAAGGAGCTTTGAATATATTTACAGAATATTAAATTCAAAATTAGCTGTTGTGCAAGAAATTCTGTAAATAGTGAGTTTATGGCTAGCTATTAATCACAGATGCCCATATCAAAGGGGAGATAAAATAAGGAGTCTTTAAAGATTAGCTGTAGCAACAGTTTTTATTCATTTTGATAATGTTGGAATGCATTATCAAAAGTAGCAATCTACAGATATTTTGCAATAATAGGATGTAGCCAAAGTATGTAGAGTTCATTTTCATCTTGACTAGATACCTAAAATCCATCAACTAAAGCAGTGTAAACTATACATTTAGAATTAAAATATTATGAATCTAGAAATTTATATAGACCAAAACTAAACATTTACTACTTTTCTATATTAAAATCTGTTCTTCAGTTCCAATGTTTTTCATGTTAAGTTAGATATTTTTGGCTAAAGAAGAAAATTGATTTTAAGCAAGAAACATTGTTTTTAAGTAACTGACCTGTATTTGCTAATCTACAGACTATCCTATTCTAGAAGAAAATTTAATTCTACCTTTTATCTACTCTTAATTGAAAAATAACATACATTAAAAATGCTATTGAAATTAATGTAATTTATTATTTGTTTGTATCCCACCTTTTATTGTTTTTACAAATAACTCAAGGTGGCAAACATATCCAACATACTTTCCTCCTATTTTTCCACAACAAGCCTGTGAAATGAGTTGTGCTGAGAGTGACTGACCCAAAGACATCCAGTCAGCTTTCATGGCTAAAGCAGGACTAGAATTCACGATTTTCCACACTGTAGCTTGATGCATTAACCAGCAAATAAATAGATCAAACAACTAATACTTCAAAAAACATCTAACGAAATGTAGGTACTGTGGTGCACATCCATAGGAAGTCTTTACACAGAATCATATGTCTTGAAGATATTTTCCTGTCATGCCACATTGATCTTTTTCTTCAGTACTCTGAGGTGATAGTAAATGACAGGATACACTGGTGAAGTGGGGAGCAGCAAATTTACAAAAGAGGCTGAATTTTCCTTTGGTCTCTGATTTGTTTCTGCTTTTTAAAACTGCTCTGATTTCATTTAATACCATTATGGACTGGGTGAAGAAAGACTTGATCATATCATCCCAGTTACAGTTGTGAAATGAAAAATAGAAGAACTAATTAATTACAATGAATTGCCCAGAGCAAGTTTTTGTTTGTTTTGTTTTTTCAGACTAATTTTGAGACAATAAAAAAGTGAAGGCTTCATTTTTGTTGGCTGTAACACAGGCATTGTGTTATAGAATAAAACTCAGTAGATTTTAAAGTTTAGTTAATTGTATTAATAAACCAAGTATATTTTTTTTCAAAAGGAAATAATTAACTATGTTCTATAAAATATAGGAGAGAAAGTCCATTGTTACCTTGCTGTAGTTTATACATTCTTAGCTTAGAAAAAGATATAAGTTCAGTGTCTTGTAGAAAGAATTGAAATTTAATTTTTCAGATTTTAACCATAAATAATATAATAATGCCGTCAGAATAGTGTTTCTATAAGTCCTGTTGGCATAATATTTTGATTGCTTTGATTCACAATCAGTATTGTATGATGAAAAGCAAAACAAAAAATTAACTTTTGGGGGGGCTCTCAAAAATTTCAATACATGAGAAAATGTTTTATTTCCATATTTAAAAATAGTAGTAGTAACTTTTACTAATATCTTTTATATAAAAATCATCAGGTTGGAAAGTAAAAGGAGAAAATGGGTGTATGTCTAGTTCTCTTTTTTCCTCCAAGTGCTTTCAAAATGGGTATGCACTTAGCCCATTGGATATGTTTCCACCCAAATGGGATTTTAACCATATATATTTTAGCAACATATTTTAGATCAGTCTATTGCTACATAATGCTATTTCGAAGTGGAATGAAAGATCTTTAGAAAATAGTTTCAGGATCAAGCCAACAAACTATCTGGGTCTAAGTGGTTCTTTTTTCTTTTAGCTTCCTGGATCACTCTGATCAGACTTTAGCTAAAAATTGACAGAGTTTTTTTCCGTTTTAGACAAAAGTACTTTAGCGCAAATTTAGAAGAAAAGAGAAATCCTATGTGTATAATATGGTTTGCTCCATTTGTATTAATCCATCCTCTACACAGTGTAACATTTGGGGAACCAAAAAGTTTCTGACAATGATCTTTTCCTGAGTAATGTTCAGTATAATGCTTCTCAGAAGCCCAGAATGAAAGCAATTGTTTTCTTTCCATTATCTGAACTTAAACTACGGTATATATTAAACAATGTTTATAATCCCTTTTTTCAAATCTAAATCAAAGGACATCGCATAGTTATATGTAAGAAAATAATGCAGGTTATATTTACAGATATTTTAAAAAAAACATTCTAATTTGCATAGTTAGAAGTAGTGCCCATTTGTGCCTATTTTTTTCTGCTTTGCTTACGCATTTATGTTCAATCCTGAATTGTGTGTAACCTGTTCGTATACTACCCAATTTATTACTATATTTTTGTTCTTTGGCTAAGAAAATTGAAATTTTAAAACATATCAGTTAAATTTAAAATGTGCAGTCTTTATTGTTAAAAATGAAGCTGCTAACACAGTGTCAAGACTAGATATAATATGCTAACAAAAGAATTGTTTGTCAAACCTATTGAAAGAGCAGCTAAATATCTACTATCTTGGAATGATAACGAAAAAGTGGTGTTTAAACTCCAGAGCATGGTTCTATAAATAGGCATTGTTTTCTGCATGCTGAGAGCATATGGGTTCATTCTGGTTTACAATAAAGAGATAGTTCTACCCAAGCTGTGTCTGAGAGTCTTCTGCCAAGTAAACTGATTTCTAAATAAGGTGGTTAAGTGTCAAGAGTTGAAATGTATTGCCAAGTGTGATGCAAAACCTGAAAATTGGTCTTTCAGCCTAAGATTATGATGCTGAAATTTATCAGAACTAAAAATGAAACCCAGTGAAGCTTTTCTATATGCTTTGTAAGAAAAAAAATGATAGTTTAATCAGCCTTGGATAGTCAGCATTCTTATATATTGGAAAACATTCTCAAATCCAAAGCAGGATGACCAGCACTTTATTGGCCCAAAAGGTTAGATAAATTTGGTCTGTGGATTGAAAAGGTTGATTGCCCTTGATTTAAAAAAGGATTTTCTTTTCAGGATAGAAAAAATAATATAAAATATGGAATAGAATAGAGCTGGAAAGGATTTGGAGGTCTTCTAGTCCAGCCCCCTGCTCAAGCAGGAGAACCATACCATCTCAGACAAGTGACTGTCTAGTCTCTTCTTAAAAATCTCTAGTGATGGAGCGCCCACGATTTCTGGAAGCAAGCTGTTCCACTGGTTAATTATCTTTAGTGTCAGGAAGTTTCTCCTTAATTCCAGGTTACTTCTCTCTTTGATCAGTTTCCAATCATTGTTTCTCATCCTTCCCTCTGGTGCTTTGGTGAATTAACGTGACCCCCTCTTCTTTGTGGCAGCCCCTCAAATACTAGAATACTGCTATCATTTCTCCCCTATTTCTTTTCTTTAGACTAGCCAAATCCAAGTCCCGCAGCTGTTCTTCGTATGATTTAGTCTCCAGGCCGTTAATCATCTTAGTTGCTCTTCTCTGAATTTTTTCCAAACTCTCAACATCTTTTTTGTGATATGGTGACCAAAATTGGCTGCAGTATTCCAGGTGTGGTCTTACCAGGGTTTTATAAAGCGGTACTAATACTTCGCTGATCTTGATTCTATGTTTCTGTTTATACAACCCAGGATTGTATTAGCTGTTTTTGGTTGCTGCTGCACACTACTGACTCATAGTCAAGTGATCATTCACTAGGACTCCAAGGTTCCTCTCACAGTTACTGTCTTTGAGCCAGGTCTCGCCCAATCTGAACTTGTACCTTTGATTTTTCCTGCCTAAATGTAAAACTTTGCTTTTCTCCACATTGAAACTCATTTTGTTGGATAGGGCCCATTGTTCAAGTTTGTCAATTATCTTTTTCGATCCTGAGTTTGTCTTCTGGGGTGTTGGTTACTCCTATCAGTTTTGGTCTCATCTGCAAATTTGATGAGTTCCCCTTCAATTCCCTCATCTAAGTCATTTATGAAGTTATTGAAGAGTACTGGGCCTAAGACGGAACCTTGTGGTACCCTGCTGCTTACTTCTCTCCATGTGGATGTGATGCTGTTGAAGACTACTCGTTGAGTACGGTTTGCCAGCCAGCTACAGACCCATCTGGTGGTGATGTTGTCTATTCCACCTTTTTCTAGCTTACCAAGGAGTAGGTTGTGATCTACCTTATCAAATGCCTTACTGAAGTCTAAGTATAATATGTCCCAGTACTGCGCTGGTCTATTAGTTTAGTCACTTTATGGAAGAATGAATTAAGATTGGTTTGGCATGATCTGTTTTTGACAAACCTGTGCTGGCTACTGGTTACAACTTTGTTTGCTTCTAGTTGTTTGCAGATCTATTTTTTATTATCTTTTCCAGGATCTTTCCAGGTATTGATGTTAAATTGATTGGCCTATAGTTTCCTGGGTCTGTTTTTTTCCCCTTTCTTGAAGATGGGAACCATATCAGCCCTTTTCCAATCCTCAGGTATTTCCCCGGTGCTCTAGGACTTTTGAAAGATATGGTGCAATGGTTCGAGATAACATCTGTCAGATCCTTCAGAACTCTGGGATGTAATCTGTTGGGTCCCAGTGATTTATATTCGTTAAGGTCGGATAGTGTTCTTTTACCATTTTCTTGCTTTTTTAATTTTTGTTTCTAGTTTGTATTTGCAGTGGGTTTTTTGGTATGTTGGACTATGGTTTCTTTTTGTGTGAAGACTGATGCAAAGTATGAGTTAAGCAGTTCTGCTTTCTCCATTGCCTGTTATTTCCTTGCCATCTTTTCTCTTTAGTGCAGAAGTCCCCAGCCTTTTGAGCACTAGGGACCAGTTCCGTGGAGAAAGGTTTTTCCGCAGACCTGAGGGGTGTAGTTTTGTGTGCTGCCTACATCCCGCAGATGGGGCTTTGCTTGTTTGCACGGACTGGTTTCTGGCATGCCGTGGACCGGTGTCAGTCCACGGACTGGGAGTTGGGGACCCCTGCTTTGTGAGCCTACAGTTTCCTTGACTTTTTTCCTGTTAAATATGTTGAAAGACACTTTTTTATTGTCCTTGATTTCTGTTGCAAGTCTTTGTTTGTTCTGAGCCTTTGCTTTTATGACTTCATCTTTGCATGTTCTCGCTGTCTGCTGATAATCGGCCTTAGTTAGTGCTCCTCTTTCCATTTTTTGAATTTGTCCTTTTTGTCTTTCAGTTTGTCAGAGATTTTTGTGCAGCCATGGTGGTTTCTTATTTTTCTTTTTCAGTGTTATTGTGCTGGTCTGGGCTTTTATAATTGCATTTTGTTACTTCAAAAGTATAGTTGGACTTATTTGGCAATTGAAGTTTTTCCTGATGTGGATTTGATTTCTTATGGTTATAATATTCTATGATTACTTAAGTAATCCTGAAAAACTAAATTATTGAAGTCATATTAACATATACAGTAAGCAGTAACATCTGCTGCAATAAATTTGCCTTCATAAATTAATGTCAACTTCTGTTTAAAATCAGATAATCAGGTCATTTCCAGAATTTTGTGAATTCAATTTTATTGCAGCTATTCTGGAGATAGTAATATGTTGTTCAGTTTTTTAAAATTGTCAGTATTAAATTACAAAATTAGAATGTTCAATTCTTAATTATGTTTACCAATAAAGTTTAAGGAAGCATCTGATATTGCCTAAAATATTTTTGTTTTGAAGTTTGCTGGCTTTGATAATATGTGCTTGATAACTTTTAATACTTTTAAAAATGTTTTTGTTTTTGTCTTCCAGGGAAAGTATGCCATATAAAATTAATTATTGGCATCATATACTCTTTTTAAAAATGCATTTTTCCAATAAATTAAGGAGCTCTTGATTCATGACAATTGTTTAATGGTTCTGATTTTAGAATCAAATATCTTTTGAGTAAATATAGTACCTGTATACTTCAGCATTTAAATTGATTCCTGCTACTCATATTTAAAGGGAGAAAACTAAAAAGTTGAAAGAAAGACTTATTACAATGCATAAGCAAATGGAATTCCAGGATGATTAAGTATTAATCCCTTTACTGCAGAAAGAAGTACATTGACATCTGGAAAAGATGAAACAACTAAAAAGGAAAAGAAAAAGCAATTTCAGTGTTCAGGAGACTCAAACATTGCTTAAAGAAATCCGAAAAAGAAGAGAGGTGCTTTTTTCCAAACAGCTAAATACGACTATTAACGAGATGAAGCGGAAGGCTTGGGAAGAAATTGCAGAATGTGTAAATGCTGTAGGTGAAGGAGAACAAAGGACCGGGACAGAAGTCAAAAGGCGATACCTTGACTGGAGAGCCCTTATGAAACGAAAGCGACTGAATACTAACATAAAGTTGGTTGGAGCTGGCTTTCATCTCCCTTCCTCTGATCTGGATGATTCTCTCAATGAAGATATTGATGAGAAAATAAGTTTTCCAAATGAATCTAATTTTGAATGGCAAAATATCACAGACTTCAGAGAAGCAGGGGGGTCATTAACCGAAGTGAAAGTAGAAGAAGAAGAGGAAGATCCGCAAAGTTTTGAAGTAAGTAATTCTATAATACGTCTCAAAAACCTGGCATTTTAATAAGGGTGTGTAGATTTTTATATCCACTGTAACTACAGTTTAGCTGCTGTTTAATGAGAAAGCTGTGTTAATTATTCTGTTTGTGTACCAAGTTTGACAGAACGTATAAAAATATTTATTTTATTATATTTATTATACAGTTACCTTTTTTATTCACAAATTCATCAAAGTCCATGAATATTTGGCTAAAAGCAAAATAAAACATCGGGTGTGTGTGCATTTTTTAACTAAAAGAAGCTACTGTAAGTCCAATTACTTACTATTTTATTTGACCATAAGTTTCACTAATTCTAATTTTTTAATGCAAACAGCTGCCCCTCTCAATCAGTCAAGAGGAAAGAATATGCCGTTGTCCAAACAAGAGCCATTGGTCTAGTGATCAAGACACCAGGCTAAAAACCAGGAGACTGCGTTCTAGTCCTTCTTTAGGCTTGAAATGTCTGGCTTGGGCAACAAATCAGTCAGTTATTCCCTATTATAACCAATGGATCACTCAATGTGGGAAAGAAGAGAAACAGACCTGTCCTAATATGAAAAAAATTTAGGAGGGGGAAAAATGCTGTTATCCAAGCAAACAGTAAATGTTTTCAATATATACTTTTTTAACTTTTTAAAATTGCTAGTTTTACATAATAGGGTGTAAATACTCTTACATACTTAATTGAAAAGTGGAGGATGTGCTCTGGTTATACATGCATAAACATGTGAACTATCTTAAACTTTTAAAAATACTGGAATTCCTCACTATGCCAAATCTTTGTATCTATTATTATAAAATATTTGGAGGAAGCAAAATTAACCTGAAATTGTCTTAATCCTCTTTGCCCCTAAACTCCCTGGAGTATTTTCATAATTAAATGCTGAGCTGGCAATTTTCTAGCTATTTCTTATGTGAATCAATCAGCTGCTTTATTTGCAGGAAAGCTATCATGACCTAGATAGAATGTAGATTCACCGGATATCCATGTTTTCTGAAAACTTAGCACATTTTTTCTGATATTCTTTGTTTATTACAACTTTTTCTAGTGTGATTTTTCAACATTTTTTCAATGTGTGATCCAGCTTTTCATAACATTAATGGTGAATTTGTAGGTGGTACAGATTGCCAATTTCACATATATTTTGACTTTGTTGCCTTACAAGCTACTTTAATTTTATCCCTTTGATTTGTTTCATCTCTTAAAACTTTTGCTATTGGGGAGAGATTAAGTCCTTAGTACATACCTGTTTCAGCATGTGCTTTAGGATGTTCATTGTGTGAGCAACACCAATCTGTATAAACAACTGTGTAATCTCTTAAATAGAGGAATTCTTTATTACTCAGCAGCTATTTTCTGCCTTCCAAATGAAAAATTGATATTTGCTGAATAAATGTATGATTGGCTCTTTTTATAAAAAGTCTTTTTTTTTTTGAAAATTTCTTAAAGCTGCCTAATTGATGTAGACATATTTAGGATTGAACTGTCAGAATGTATTTACCTTATTTTTAATTGGACATTTCATTCATCAAATTTTATTGCTTGGTATAATGTTCTGACAGGGATGGGTCTTTTTTTTCCCCTGTGGCTTGGCCACTGCTAAACAAATGACTACAGTGTCTGTACAGTGACATGGTGATATTAACAGAGGAGGCAGGGCTGATATTAGCGAATGTAAACTCAGACAGCATGTTTGTTGAACAAATACTATTGAATGTATGAAAAAAAAATCATTTTTTTTTAAAAAGGCAGAGCTGAACAGGTTATGTATTTTTATTTACAAGGTGTTATGAGGCACAGGTAGTTAATACTTTTAAGTGGGGAATTGTAGATGTACTTTATTTAGAGCAGTGGTTCTCAACCTGTGGGTCGGGACCCCATTTGGGGTCGAACGACCATTTCACGGGGGTCGCCAAACAAGGCTGTCCGCCATTTTTTCCCCCCTTTTCTTTGGCCACGCCCCTGGCACCCGGTGATTTATAAGTGGTTGGGGGTCACCACAACGTGGGGAACTGTATTATGGGGTCGCGGCATTAGAAAGGTTGAGAACCACTGATTTAGAGTGAGAGACATAGCTATTTAGCTTCACACATTAACATTTCTGATTATTTTCCTTAGTTTCCTATTGAGGAAGAAGAGGAGATTTTGTCCTCAGTTTTGCCAGATTCCAAAAAGGAAAGTGACCTTCCTGATTTCACCCATATTGAAGAATTTGGAAATCTAAGTTCTGCTCAAGCTAGGCTGGCTTATGAAGATTCCCACTTACTGATTAGCTTGGAGAAGCAGAAGCTAGAGCTGGAAAAACAACGCCTGGATATTGAAGCGGAACGACTGCAAGTTGAGAAGGAGCGTCTGCAGATTGAAAAAGAGCGGTTGAGGCACATTGACCTGGAACATGAGAGGCTTCAACTGGAGAAAGAGCGGTTACAAATTGAGCGGGAGAAACTGAGGCTTGAAGCTCAGCATGGTGAAAAACCTATCTTGGAGAATGATCCAAATCAGGCAGAAAAGCCTGTCCTACAACCTTTTGATTTAGAAACGGAAAAACTGAAAATTGAGAAAGAGCGTTTGCAGCTTGAGAAGGAGAGGCTGCAATTCCTGAAGTTTGAATCAGAAAAGCTGCAAATTGAAAAAGAACGCTTGCAAGTGGAGAAAGAGCGACTTCGAATTCAGCGAGAAGGGCATTTGCAGTGAACTTGGAGGAAATATTACCAATGTTGTGTTTTGTTGTTTGTACTTTTTTCTAAAAAAGAGAATTGTTGTTTTGTTTCGTTAAAAGTGTTGGATAGTCTGGTCTTCAAAGCATTTCACTACAATGATACCGCTTTGCTACTGTGGTAATTACACTTTGAGAGTACTTTTGTTTTGGCCATAATTGAGCATTAATGTATTCATTTAAAAAAAAAAAGCTGGGAATTGGTGCTCAGTAAGTTGTTGTGCCTGTATAAATAGAAGCTATTTGTGAAATTACATTTTGGTGAAACAGAAGAAGTGTGAATATCCTCTTGTACTCTCTGTTGTGTAACTTTACATCCACATTAAGAATCAAGGCTTGGCAATGTCTTGTCATTTTGAGAAGGTTATTCTAAATCCATAGGAGCCTTTAATGTAAATTTGTATCTGAGTGAAGAAGTGAGTTTGAAATAAGTCTTGCACAAAAAATAAAGTTAAATTTCAAAAGTTATGCCTTTAATGTAAGGCATGTTCTTTAAAAAAATTAAGGCCAGAGGTTAAAGCTCTTAATGTTTTTGTTCTCAGTGCATTTGTAGAAAAAGAAAAAAAAAGTTTCAAGTGTATTATAAGATATTTCACATTTATGTCTAAGCTTGACCAAACCTACAGCTTTAGTATATAATTTTGGAAGCCAGTTTGATATTCAAGTGTTTGAGTTGGAATATATTTCTTGGGATTTAAATAGATTATTTGGATTTATCAGTTTATTTACATCATATGTAATTATTCTTATTTTGCAAATAAAGTGTTATTTTATTATTGAAAGAAGTGTTATTTCATAGTGTGAAATAAAATGGTCTGATGCAGATTAATTTATTCCCTGTAAACTATTTTTTTAAAAAAAATAAAGAATGAACACTCTGAATCTTACTCAATTGTACAAAAAATAATCTGCCTGATCTTTGTAATATTGATCTGTAAACAAATCTTGCAATGGCGAATGCACAGCATAGAATTTTTACTTCTGATTTGTTGTTTCCCTCTATTCAATATTACTAGAGTAGTCATAAAATGGAAGATTGTGTTTTGATTTGAACCAAAGTAGACAAACTGGATTGATCATGATTTAAAAACCCAAAGCATCCAAAACAGGTATAAGCATGGACCACCTACAATCAGTTGTTCTGCATGCATAATGTTTTCCACATCCCTAACTCTTACCCACTTACCCTTCTGCATTTGAAAAAGATTTTATAGCATCAAGACCTTAACCCAAGTCTCACTGGTTGAATTTAAACGTTCTGCTTTGTGAACAAAAATGTTCTTAAGCCAATTTCATTGGACATTATTTAAGTTAAAAGAAAATAAGATGAATCTTCTCAGGATATTTTTTTTTAAATTTAAAACTAGGTAATGAACAGACTTTAGCGTTTGCTTTGACTTTTATGGGATTGAGTGCTAAAATTGCACGAGCCAGAAACCAGAGTATTCTCTTGTGATTCCTTAGTAGATGATACCTCTTAATGGTGGTCCCTTCAATCTGGAATGCTCTCCCTCCTGAAATGTACTGCTCAATTATCAGAACTTCCATGTATTTACCACTTTCAACATTTCAGTCATAAACGTTAGGACTTAGGATCATAATTGAGTTCAAAATTTCTATTGCTAAGCGGGACAGTCGTTCAGTGAGTTTTGCCCCATTTTACAACCTTTTTTGCAACAGATGTTAAATGAATCACTGCAGTTAGCAACATGATTGTAAAATGAATCTGGCTTCCTCATTGACTTTGCTCGTCAGAAGGTTGCAAAAGGTGATCGTGTGACAATGGGACATGGCAGTCTTCATAAACATGAGCCAATTGTCAAGTGTCCAAATTACGATTATGTGACCATGGGGATGCTGCAACCATCATAAATTTGAAAATTGGTCGTAGGTCCCTTTTTTCAGTGTTGTTGTAACTTTGAGATGGCGTTTCTTAATGAAATACTTCCTCCTGAAACAGCATTTCTCTTTTAACATTTTGAACGTTAACATTTGATGCATAAAATGTATTTCCTATAGTCTACATTAAATTATTAATCCAAAAAGACATTGACAGCCACACAGTATCTTAATTCAGCAAGCTGCTCCTAAAGCACTACATATAGAATTCAGGAATTAAGAGAGAAAGAGGCATGTCAGTCTATCCTAGGCTTTAAATTCTATGTCTCCTGAGTCAGTAATTTGGCCCTGATACATCTATTTTCAGTCAAAAGATAGTGGTTTTATTTATTTTATTTGTACAATTTATTTGCCAGCCATCTCGTGTCCAATGGCTATGGGTTGCTTACAGCATAGAAATACTGAAAAACATTAAAATCATCCATTGTAAAAAAAAACAGATAAAAAACATTTAACATATAAAATCATAGACACGGCAAAGAAGGGAGTCAGACACACACGGATGGGGAAGTGGGGTTGACTTTAATTAACCAAGTACCTCCAGTATGAAGCTTTCCCATTGGGTCCCCAAGCCATCTGGCAGAGTCATGTCTTAAGGCTCTTAGGAAAAGTCAGGAGGGTGGGAGCCATCTTACCTCAGCGGGTAAGATGTTCCAGAGGGCAGGAGCCATAAGAGAGATGGCTCTTCTGGAACCAGCCAGCCAAAATTCTTTGGTTGAAGGGACCCGCATGTACCCTCCCGATGCGAGTGGGGTGGCTAGGTTCAAAGAACAGAGATAACATTTCTACTAATTTTGGCAGTAGAACAATTTGTGCAGCATGTCCACCAAAATATATATGTTTGAAAAATTGACAAAGCAGGTCCATTTTGAAAGAAAATGGAATGTATTGAAGCATGATACAAGAATACTGCAATTATGACTGTCAGACAGCAGTTTCTAAATCTATTGACATGCTCTAGGGCAGAGGTGTCAAACTGGTGTCATATGGAGGCCACATCCACCTCAGCTCCGGCAATGAAAAAAAGTCACGATACATCGCAACACATCACATGATGTGGTGAGCTTGACACCCGTGCTCTAGGGGCTAGTACAAGCACATACTTCTTAAAAAGCTGAAAGATACAGTAATTCTTATGCAGTAGTTGATATTGAGAGGTCAGGGCTAGGATATTGATGCCAGTATGAAAACAGACACCGATTATTGTTTTTTATAGTTCTTATTCACTGAACATGCTAGCCAATGATTATGCATCAACTTCCAAAGAAATCAGTTAATGTTTTAATATAACTCAAAGCAAGTTAGTATTTTTCTCTCCATTGACTCATCCAGAGATGGCAAATTTTGAAGTATACTCCCTGATTTTGAAATTACCATATGGCACACAATGGGAAAGTCAAGTGGAGAAGATAAACCTAGCAAACACAAATTAGGAAGGCAACTGATGCTACAGTTGTCAAGACAGAGGCAAATGTTTTGATGGGAATTTTTTCCAGAATAGCTAGTGGCTGACAGAAATGAAATCACTAGGAATAGTGTAACTTCAAATTTTTGTTTGGCTTAATGTTGTGTCATGATGTGCAGTTTAAATTAAATGGTATAAGTAAGAGACACTTTAGTGTCGTCCTTGATATGTTTGGAGGACTGGAACAACTGGACAAATTTGCTAACCTAGAATTATAAAGAAGCATGATACAAGAATACTGCAGGTGGCTGTATTACTGTGTATTCTGTGTACGCCTGCTTAGAATTGGTTGTAAGAACAATGGGTCACTCTAATATTAATTCATATGAAGAAATGTACCACGGTCTACCATATATATGGTTTCTGTCAAGTGAAAGCAAAATTTAACTGTCATACAGTGATGAAGTAGAATTGTAAGCCACCCAGAGTTCTCTTGAGGTAAGATGGACAGCCTATAAATTTGATAAACAAACAACAAACAAATAAATAACTTTCTCAATATAGTAGGTCTATATAGATTATTATGAAACCTGATTTTTTGTCATAGACAACAATAGTTACAAAGACATTTTGACAGAACAAAAATATGCTTTTCTTTAAGATTTACCTGGATTGTTCATGAACAACCTATAGAATAAGTAGCATGTTTTAATTATATGTAGGTGTTTTTTTAATTAGCATCTACTACTTATATTCAGAATGCCCAATTGCAGGAATCATGTCATTTTTCTGTATTTCTCCATGTTTCATTGCTCTGTACTGCATTATATTGCATTCTGTTTGTATTTAAACTTTTTTGTTGCTAAATCCCAATCTTAAATTTTATTTGGTGCAGTCCTGGGGTTCTGTATTAGCCATTCAAGTAAATGTCTTGAAAACACTTTTTCCAGGGCCATTGTGTCATAATATAAAAACTGGTTTATTATAGGTAGAGACCCGGGCATGGATCAATGTCTTCAATTTATGGCTGAAGGTGACTTTCTGTAAAAATCATCTTAGTGAAAGTTTTGTATCCATTTTGAAAGGTGATATCAAAGAGAAAATATTTTAATATGAATTACCTCCACTGTTGTTCAGTTAACTATGTAAACAAAGATTACACTCAAGGAAAGATTGTTAGAAGTTAATCAGTTTCCTTTCTGTTCCCCAAGTATTTTATGAGTTAACAACTATTCTAAGGTAGTTGTTCTAATTCTAAGGTAGCAATATACCTTAAGCAACTTCCTAAATACTACAGAATGTTTATACTCACTTGCTTTAAATATTCTTTGATAAGTGAGATTGGAAGGCAGGTTCAGGAACAGAATGAATTTATCTCTGTAGTTTGAATGCCATTAAAATACTGGCACATATCCTGCTTTATGGTACCTTTTATTAGGGTAATTATAACAGTGTAATATTGCTTTTGATTAGGGATAAACTTAAGAGATTTCTAAGTTTCTAAATTTTACTACTCTCTTTCATACAGAATAACAAAACAAAAGCTTGGAAATTACCAGGGCCTTCAGAATATCCCTAATCAGAAGCAATATTACATTGTATTGTTATAATTATCCTCACTGCTTTTTTTGTAAAAAAAAAAAAAGGTGCCGGAACTCACACACGTCATACAACCCGCCTTGCCTACCCTACAAGGTTCTATCCAAAAAAGGTGCCGGAACTCCATTCTGGGCATTCTACGACAAAGAAAGCCCTGGTTATTCTAATACAGTGGTACCTTGGTACACAACTACTTTGAAACTCACCACATTTTGGTACTCATTTTGTTGTGAAAATTTTGTCCCAGTACTCACAGTTTGTTTGGTACTCAGTGCACAAGCTAAAACATGGTGTTGGGTGCCTTGTGACTCACTACATTATTCCTTATGGGAAAGTTTCCTGCTGAAAACAAATAATGATTATCACTGTAAGCCCAAATTTATCACTAAACTGAACTATGGCTGTGGTTATGCCAGATGCTCGCAATCTTGTTTTAGTGTATTTGTTTTGTAAATTGGGGCCAGTTATTCCCTTGTATTTTAGCCTGTGACTGTAATTAAGTTTTTATCTGTTTGACCTAAAATGTTTCATATCTCTCCAGAAATGTTGTAAAAAGACATCTGCTCACTTCCATGGTAACACTTATATTGAATCACTGTCCTTTATCCTGCACAGCTAATCTTCTCTACAATGTCTCTGTAATACAGAAGGTGTGGTTGGGGCTGCATTTTTAAATTTCATTTGGAATAGGCAGAGCCCAAAGTTTTTTGCTCTTCTGGGTATTTATTTTTAGTTTTGAAACATGACTTTAAGCTCAGTGACAGGTTTAGAGGTTTTAAGAAACAATATTTGGGCATTAAACTCCATAATACTTTAACTTCAAAATCTGGCCCCAAAATTTTATTTATATCTACTACTACTACTACTACTACTACTACT